CTGCAAATTGGGGGCAGAGGCAAACCTGCGGATGGACAAACACTAGAGTTTGCTTTTGTCTTTCTGGCTGCCAAGGCTGAAGGAAGGCAAGTTCACCCTGGAGAAGAGAAGCAAGGTGGTGTCCCAGACCAGACTCCATCCCTGAACCATGAGGCTGTTCTTGGAAGGCAACCATTGCTATCGCTGTCCCCTGGAGATGCCTTGTACCAAAGGCCCTTGTAAAAAGTGTTTCAGGGTGCCTGAAACTAAAATGAAATTGCAGCGTTATGAGGACACTTCAGTCCTTACAGTAGCCAAGTATGCTATTAGTTTAAAACAATGAGGGGGGTGGGGAGGAATGCGCTATGATTTATTTATTTGTTTCCAGTAGCAATGGAAAATTTTCTCCGAGCATAAGGGAAGCCTGAAACTGACCCCACCTGCCAATTATGAATCAGCATTAACATTCTCCATGATTCCCTATGCGTTTCCAAGCGAGCATACCATGCCCCTCAACAGCATGAAGCACAGCTAAGTCCATATAAGACTCATGACACATCACTACCTAACCTGGATCCAGAAAGAGTAGACCCGGTAAAGGAATAGTTCAAAGTTCTAAGAACCATTTGTAAGTCCTGGGAGAACTTTGCCAATCTTTGTTTTTAAAGTTAGCCCCAGACCCAGAGAAAGCAGTGATAAGCAACAGAAGTCATGAATGAGTCTCCCTTTCTCCACCATCATGTGGTACCCACAAACAGCTCCAGCTTCTGCCCCACCTTTGACTCTTTCCTGCTTTTGCTCAAATAGCTCTTGGAAATGTTCCTGCAAGTTTCCAAAGAGCTGAGGGCTGGTGCCTTAAGAGTTGTGCGTCAGCTGAATTCCATAAAATAATAGACCACATAAGCACAGTGTAATTTACAGTTAGATGACAGGCAGAGATGATGTGATTTGGGCCAAGGGCTTATTGAGCGCCCAGGAATGAAGAACCACTAATGTAAGAGGTCCACCTGGATTTTAAAATTACACAGGCCATGATTTTCAGGGTTGGAGCGGTATGTTACTCAGGTTCAGATGCTGAAAACCCAATGTCAAAATGATGGTTCCCCAAGACACGAGGCCCGTCACTGAGTCCAATGATTAGGAAGCTGAGCAACTACAGTGCCTCCTTCCCCTCATCCTTAACCCCGAAGAAAGCTTGAGTCTAAAATAAAATCCCCAAATCATCGGAGCCCATCTTCAATTTCCAAATGCCCAGCTAGTCTTTGATTCGCCAGAGAAGCTACTCTTTCTCTACCAACCAAATCGGATTATTCTTTTGCACCTCTCGCTGCGGCCAGGTTGACTTTAAGAAAGAATATCGAATAATTGCTCCCCATTTGACCTCTGCAATCTGATTGGCACAGAGCATCAGGAGGCTTCTTCCTGCCTGGGGTTCTTCGTAGGGACCTTCTTGAGCTGCTCTGAGCAAAGGAATCTGATGGCTGGTTTGAAGGAACAGTTGCAAATAACTATCACCAACCCCTTGGTTACACTGGGAAGAAGCAACAGGGCAGGGGAGAGGACGAGCTAGCGCCCAGATCATCCCTGCGAGAGGAGGGTCTTGGTCAACTTTACATGGAGCAACTGTGCCTAGAGTCCAGAGCAGAAAGCTCCTTGCAGCGATAGCTTCTTTAACGAGTGTTTCATTAGGAACAATGAGCATGTTTCTGAAATGGCTTGGCAAAGGGGTTTAGGTAAGGCTGGTTGGCAGTTGGAAAGGTAAGCAGAGAGGAGGACCAGCAGGAGAGAAACCAAGCTAGAGGTTTCTTGGAGAGGGGGAGGAGGAAGAGGGAGGGAGAGGGGGAAGGGGGAAGGGGGAGAAGGAAAAACAGAGAAGGCTTTAGGGGAAACAACAGCTCTAATGCAGCCTCTAATTGTCAACCCAGTGATGCTACTTCCCGCCTGGTCCTGGACGGTGGAGCTAGAGCTCCAAATGCAGGTTTCCTCTGGAGAGGTCTTTCCCCAAAGAAGGCTTTACTACTGGGAAGACTTGAACCAAAACAAAGTTGTGTGATTCATCAGGAGGGAACGCTGTAACCAGTAAAGCCAACTTTCTTCCCTCCAACAGTGCTGCAACAGTTAGTCACACACAGGGGCTGCCTTGGGCTGGCTGACTAAATCAACAAATTCCCCTCGCTAACCTTCGGAGAGGGCTGTTAAAACACACCCTCTTTGAGGCCAGTAGGATGATGGTGTATGAAGCGAAGGCTATTTCAGCAGATGACATGCTGACAGCAGCTTGGCTTAATTAGCATATGGGAAATAAAAAGACTACCACCTAGTGAGAACCCTTCATGATACAGTCTGGTTATGGACGAGGGAAAGAGGCTGGGAAGAAATGCTTCCTGTTAAAAAAATTAAAATGTGTGGGCGGTATGTGCGTGGGTTGAGAGACAAAGTCTGGGGGATCTGCCACCATCCTTGGACAGGAACATGCATACGACACTGGAGGCCCCTACCTGGAGGAAAACTTGCAACCTCCAATACGTGGATAACAAGACTCAGTAACAAAGGTACAGGCGGCGAGTGCTCTGCCACTGGGCTTCTTGTACAGCGAGAAACCAAATCTCACTCGCTAAGGCAGCAACTGTTACGTCCCAGCCTCAAGCTGGCAAATCCCTGCTTTGGATCCTGGCAGAGGACATTCAGCCGTTCATTAGCCTTAACAAGCTGCTGTCACAGAGCGGAGAAGTTACATGAGCAGCCACACACCAAGTCTCTTGTACAGCCCTCCCCAAGGGCAGCCGGGTTCCTTTCTCCTGGACCGACTGTACAAGTTCACACTTCAGACGTGCAAATCCGGACCGGCCTCTCAAGACTTTCCACGGTGCACATGGTCCCATTTTTCAAGAATAGCCGGTGTTCCCTCCCCACCCCACCCATCATTTTTCTTGCAGAACATTCCCATCCGCAGCTCCTAATCGCTGCTGACAAACAAAACAAAACCAAAAAAAAAAAGAACACCAATGTTTCCGTCGCCGACCCAGCACTTTCCACTGACCAGCACTTTCTGTATTCCACTTCACAAAGCCCAGGGAACTTGTCACCAGGCGGGCTTCCCCCTCACCGGAATGCTGAGCCAACTTGGCGTCCATGCTGTTCAGTTCAGCAGCTTAAGTTTCTTAACTAGTCCAAGCGAAAATCAAGAGCATCCAGCACAGACCACTCCTTTGTGGGAGGCTGTGCGGCCGGGGACCCCCCGAACAAAAAGCAAAACAAGGACACTAGCCAAGCGCTTTCTTCCTGGAGGCATTTGACAGGGGACACCTGCAAGGTATTGTCAGCCCAAGAGACCCCTACCTGACCTCCTTGCTGATTTCCTAGGGGGGCGGGGGTCTTTTGTCACTAAGCCCCTGTCCCTTGCCCACCTTCCAGTCTCAAAACCAAGCCCCTATTCTTTATTGACACTCGCTAATAATCACTGGGGAGATTGCGTTTTGTGCTTGCGATCCCGGCATCTGACAATCGCCAGCACCAGTGGAAAGAACCTGATTTCAGGTACCCAGTAGGTAGAACTCAGGGATGAAGGGACTTGCTAGCTTCCTGGCAGCAATCGCTGGTAAAGCTAACATCCCCGACCGCCGCCCCCCCCCCCAACAAAAAAATAAACAGCTTCCTACTCGGCTTCTCTGAACCCCAGAAGTTATGCAGGGTCTCTGCTGGGGGGGGCAGTGCGCCCCACAATGTGAGCGCTAGGGTGTGTGTGTGTTGGAGAGTAAACACAAGGCAGCTGGTACCACTGCTGAGCTCCGCACACTCAGAGGTTGAGGTGGTAGAGAGGTAAGCGCCTGTTTTCAGAAAACATTTTCAACAGCAAACAGCCAAGAAAGGGGGAAAACAAAACAAAAACAAAA